GTGCAAAAAAAAGCACCACCCAGCATAGCTCAATGGATCTCTGAGGCACGCAAACCATCGCACCACGGTAAGGTCCAGCCTCATTGCGATGGGAGAGCCCAACATACAGTCCAACGATTTGCATTAAAGATACAAAGCAAAAACTGGTGGTCCGCTCTAAGCAGTTATGAACTGGCAGAGGTGCTTATAGCTACATACTGACAGAAGTAACTTTCAAAGAATCAAGAGCCAAAAACATAAGATTGGGTTAGGGCCCCGTTGCGCAACGCCTCAGTTAGGGGGATCAGATTCCTGAGGTTGCTGAATCAGAATGGACCATTTTCGAACACAAAATCAATTAAGTAACTGAAGTCGGAATCGTGTTTAATAGGTAGCATCTCATATTGCGCTTAGCATCAAAGGAAGCCTCTCAAGTACTAAAGCATCCGCATCAATGCATTTTTCGCTACGTTATTTCATCCCTGACATTTCTGCACCGAACAGTGCTTGCATATAATACTACCGTATGTATGCGAGTTGGGAGACCTAACAACGCCAGATTATTCATCGACCAAAGAACCTGCGCGTTGTGTGAGTCGAAGGCCCATTGGCTCAAGTTAATTAGTTCCCTAATGGCAAAGTGCTCTACGAAAAATTCTGTGCCATAAAATGTCGGTACAATGTTGGTTGCGGGCAGTGGAGTTTCCTGAAGGTTATTTACCTAAATTAACAAAAATCTTGCGGATTCGGTGCGAATAAACACCACGTGTAGCTTCAGTTTTTAATCTTCAAGGTTGTTCCCATGCTACCGCCACCGCTTATTTCAATGCCGTCCGTCTATTGTTCATCCGCGCATCCTCCAATGGACTATCGCAAAACAGTAGCCTGTACATTGAACGCTGAGCTACGAATCACTTTGCAAGCGGCCACCAATTGATGTGGTATACAAGTTGCTGCTGCAATTACTGGTTAGTAGAGAGTAGAATGGAGATTTATTGAGTTTTTGAGCATATTCGTCGCAGTTATACAGGCAGATAGCCCCAATGCATCCAGGAAAGCGCTAGATGACCGTTTCGTCCTATAAATAGAAGCAGTTTTATCGCCTGTCACATTGGTGTGGGTAGTGGAACTTATATTGTATGATTCGGTCCTGTAAACCTGGGGTTCAACTTCACTTGCACTCATAATTTAGGAATAGAGCAGCTTGTTTAACTCTGCGTCTTGACGGTACTTACAACTACCACTTTATGTAAACTGTACTACTGCTTCAGTGTAAGCGTCCTTACTGCCGGTACTTGCGAGGCTACCTACAATAGCCTTCTGTCAACAATTAAGTAACAGCCAGAAGTCCGATAATTTGCTCTACAGTGTGCGGAGTAAACCTTTGTGGTTCATGTCGAGCTATAGGTAAATTAATTCAGAACTCAAAGGGTTAAAGTAGAGGGCGTCTGAAATGAGTTCCTCGGCGTGGGATGAAATGCTTTTTCTTTGATACTCTATTCGTATCCCCTTATCCAAGCAACTAGAGCAGGAAGTATAAATACATTGCAGTACAGCATACTCAGAGTGCTCAATACGGTTCTTGAATTTTCGTTGCCACAGTATATGCGGTGTGGGTACAAATGACGGTGTACAGTTTGATGGGAGTCAGATTGCTTGTGTTGACTCGAGCGAGTTAAGCAAGCATAGCCATGGGGACAAGTAGTTTGCACATTTGGCCAGCGTTTAATCCTGAGCATGCGCATGGGCTTGTGCAGCTTTATAAACCTGAGAGAAGTGAATTTAGTAATAAGTAAAACACCTCAGGATGACGCGCAAGGCTCCGAAAGGACCAGGGTTCACAACATCATCGTACTCCCGAACAGTTTAACCAAGTGTGTACTTGCTAGTGTACCTCTCCACGAAGCTGACGGTAGCATTTTCTAATCAGTTATGGCAAATTACCTATAGTGGACTAACAAATTATTCAGTTAGGCACTTCAAGTTGTAAACCAAATGCCAAAGCCGTGACTCTAGCCAATGTTATGGCTTGCAATTTCACAAAAATGTCCTATTCCTCATCTTTAATGAATGGGTGAATTTGCCTATGTGGTACATAAGCGATACCACCTTCGCCGAATGTTTTATACACACTTGAGGCGATACCGTAATCGTATTTTATGTTAATGCTCTCACTTCGACGACGATAAAGTAACAATGGAGGGTACTACTTCTATGCAAATTCATTATTCGCCATTTTTCTACTAGAGCCATGCACGCTGTGGTGCATATACACCTTGGGCATTCAAGACGCTCTAGATGAAATATCGAGTGGTTTTCAAAGGATGTCCAATCTGCACACCAAGTGTGTGCAAGCTCCGTTATGAGCAATTGCGAAGGGTGATAGAGAGCGTTCGGCTTTGTAATCTTCTGCTTCCATTTGTCTTGTTTAAAATATTCATGTCAGGATAAGCATGATCTTGATTCTTAGAACAATCCTTAGGTGAAATCGATAGTAGGCTAACGTTCTAGAACAATGTGCGGAGCACACTTGCCGTCATCCATCAAAGGAGCTTCATGTATCTTAGTTACAGTACACAGATGATGCTGCGGGTACCTTCTGGACAAGGAAGCGACATGTTGTGCCGAATAGTCCGGGTTACTGAAGTAATAGAACACCACACCAGGAAGTAAACCACGCAGCTTACACGCACACTGCTCCACTGCTGCCGCGTTACCGTATTGTCACGGACATGACGGAGCGGCTACAGCCGGCTAGTCTGCCGACCTGTGAAAAGGTATGGAACACTCGATTAGCTGGTCATGACAGCTGGTGCTCGGACGACCAATGGACGCTTAATCTTGATTGGCTTGTCCGGACAAGGCGATTTGCTTAGGGTCTGGCTGACCTCGCCACAGTTGGTGCGATGGGGGGACGAGGTGAACAGAGCTAGACAGGAGTGAAGGTCCCGCCGCGGCTGTTTGTCTGTCCATCTATTTACATCGGTGTGCGGATCCTGCATGCCATCGTCAGGGTCTCCACTTGCTGAACACAAACTCAATAAGCATGTGTTTACGCTAGTAATGGGCTTCAAAACCATTTAGCCGTACATCCATTTCCATCAACTTTTACAGGAATATTACATCGGATCAAAGCCTTCACAGGGGTGACGGAGATGACACCATCCGTTGTCCTAGCCGTGTCGTTTATTTTGTGCAGCATCGTCGGCATTGCTAGTATCCAACGCGATCCTGCTCCACGGCGCATCGAAGAACGCACACTCAATTTCAGTGTGGAAGAGAACTCCGTGATCGGGACTGAGATCGGAACCGTTGCCCTGACACAACCTACTGAATACACGACGCCATCTCTACGATACAAGCTTGGTACACCATCCAAACTGTTCGCAGTGGACGAAGTCAACGGAAGATTGGTCACTGTGGCTCTACTTGACGCGGAGTTGCTCTGTGCAAGCGCCAGAGAGCAGGAGGTCATGAGTATCGCAACATTGAACACAGCAACTGGTAAGCATTCAGGATTCGTTTCATTTTTGCCCACAGAAAGCACTAGCTACAGACATCTCAATAAAGGGTTGCAGTTATGCTTAGTGTTAAAGATGAAAATCCATTAAAATTATCCGGCTGCTGTTTACTTGTATCACCACAATTGCTACATTTGAACATTATGGGATATTTGGCGACCGCAAATTCATAAATTTACGCGCATATACCAAACGGCCTACCCACAATGAATGCCGAACACATTTACTCTGTTGTCTTCACCGCAGTTTGTCTCTATTTGTTGAGAAACTTCGCATGATTGTGAATTCGGATATGGAGATACATGCAGTCAGCCACTGCTACACAAATTTACCTTTTGGCTCGAAATAAGCGGCTATCGAGCTAGCAAAAATTTTCTATTTTCCCAGTAATACTTACTCGGTGCTCGTCGAGTCCTTAGCTAAATGCGCGCGCCCTTGACAAGTCCACTCAGGTTGTCTCGAGTTGGGATTTAGAGGTCCAGTTGTGGAGATACAACGCCAAAACTATTGATTCCCTGAATCAATAACCACTTACTCAGCTACAGGAGCTAACAAAACATAAACAAATAATTCGCTTGATATCAGTAGCTTTCGTGTAAAAAGGTTTGTACCGGTTAAGTACAGTCCGCTGATTGGGATTTGATCTGACCGCGGTGGTGCGTGAGTACGTGCTTTAGTAGACAGCCTTAAGTCCCTGGTTCAGTTCGGGCTTTTTATTTTGCTAAAGCTAATACGAAATCTGTCGCGGAGTACACTTAGCCGAGAAATGCAAATTTACCGTCAAATCCTACTCGTTACGCGCAGAGCGAACGAACTATCCTCTGTATAACGTTACAACAATTAGTGGGTTAAACATAAATGGCAACAAATCACAGGTGCTGATTAGGTGTGATTTTATCTTTATGATCACTACATTTCGCTCTGAATTGGTTGGTATTGTCTGCCTATACTATAACCAGACAACGTTTTTTAACATACAGCTACATGCACTACGTGATGGCATGAATTTCTACTTTTATTTATCATGACTGCGTCAAGGCCGTATTTAGTGTGCTCAGACAGCCAGCATAAAATGCTCTGATGAATCGATCGTACTGACAAAACAGCTTTTGAGGAATTACTCGGGGTTTCTTCGCTGTAGTTTCTAAATCAGCTAACCATCCACATGCCCGGAAAAACACTAGAAGGCTGGTTCGTCCTATGGGGGGTCGTCATTAGTGCTCAAAACTCGACTCCATCAGGATCCCATCTTATGCCATGGAAACATGGCATGGCAGCGGCGGATCGTCAAGACTTAAAAGCTAACCGATATGGTGCGGCTCATTCCAACGCATGTGTACGCTTCTGTGAGGAACACAAATTTATCACATCAAAAATACCTTACTCATGAGTAAACCAAACTATTTGCCCTAACAGCCGTTGAATGCTAGGATGTACATAGGTGTAGTTAGTGGAAGCCATGACTCCCGGGGCCAGCCCAGTTCTGTTAAAAGTCCGCAACTTGCACAGCAAGGGAGGATTAGTCGCATTATATCGCAGTTAACTTAAAGGTCATGGAGGTCCGCCGCTGTTCCCCATGTATTACTATGTCATGAGCTGCTAGTCATTTTCGGTTCGGATCCCGCTGGAGCAGATGGAAGTGTGTGTGTGTCTACTAGTGTTTTCTCGGGTATGTGGAGGATCCATTGAGTTGGAAGGTGCTAGGAAAAACCCTCAATTCCCTACTTCAAAATCCCCTACTTCAAAGGTTGTGAGCAGTTGCTTTTACTTCCTTACAGCTATCCCAGTGTCACCCTAACTACCTAAGGCGAAAGCAGGAATTTCAATGGTGGATTATTTTTCATGTCACGAACTTATCGTATCACTGGATTGCTCGGCAGATGACTGCGACAATTGGGCCAATTCACAAGCAGCTCACTGTTCACTGGCTCAGTGAGAGTTAAGTTCGCGCATGCAGTGTGTCGTCTGAATTTTGTACCACGGGTTGCACTAGTTGGAAGCTTGATGAAAGCGGTGAGAATGATAGCGTGCACTTCGTAAAACTGATGAAACGGTTGATTAGACGCCATCTCAAGGTATATTTTCTATCCAAATCTCATGACGTCAGTAACACTACAGTGTTGCGATGTGCTTCCCCGTTGGATCGTTTCTTTACCAAGTTTGCGCCCACATGATGGAACAAGCAAACTGCGATCGGGTTTTACAAACTACAGTTTACAGAACTATTACACCGATGGTAGTCGTACATTAGTTCACGATTATCTTTCAACCATCGAGGAAGTAACTGACACATTTTACTAGGCTGACCGCGCAAGAACGGTAGAGGGGAAATGGCCACTTTCACCATTGAGACTTTATGAGGCGAGGTACTGGGGAAATGCCGCAAGTCCTCTAGAGGTTCCAGACGAACACAGATCTGTTCTTGATCTACTGCACCAAATTCCGAGCAGAAATCGTCACCCAGTCAACACCATAAGAGCTGACGTGGAGGGACCGCGGATGCTACCAAGGTAGAAACGAATCTGCCGTATTTGTGTGCAAACAAGGGTTGCTGTCTTTTGGATAGCTTGTTTTCCCCACATCGACACAATGCATATTTACTAGTATCCAGTGGTAATACATCTACCATGCAGCAAGCTGATCATCTATAATCTTCGTCACCCACTTTGGCCCCGGACAAAACTTACAAAGTAGGTTTTCATCGACTTGTTACACATCTCGACAGCATAGACTTCACCATTTCCGATTAGAACCTAGTGAATAGTAGACGCAGTAAAAACCGTAATACTTTGCCGCACGAACACGCTCAGCGCAATGAGGGTTTACAAAACTAATGTTCAATGTAATCGTACCACTTTAACAAGTGTTGGTCGGAGGACTAAGTGCCTTATCAGTTTCAGGTAACAGTCGCTAGGGATTATTGTTACCAGAAATGTGGTATTGTGAGTGGCTACTTTTAAACAACTGTGAGTGAGAGAAGCAGGTTCCAAAAGTGAGCAACTGGAAGGGAGGGATATACACAGTTTGAACGACAGGTTCTTTTTTGTCTATTATAATCGTTCCAGAGCATCTACCTTACGGAAATGAGATCTGTAAGGGCGACGGTTTTGGTGGAGAAGCACAAAATCTCCTGTTGTCTACACAAAACTTCAATGTGCTATTTTGTACAAATACAGTTTGCCGTATTTGCGGTATGATGGAAAATCGCGACGATTTTGCACCAATTGCTTAAATAGCAGTTGTGACTGGCCCAATAAAAGCAACGCATGCATACTTTGGAGTAATGAAATGGGGTTGCGCGGTACACAAAATAGGACTACGATACCATTCCTCAGTCAAGTGAATACGGAACGCTTTCAAATTCTTCATCAGGGAAATCAAATTCCTCCACAGATCTTTCCACATGGTCGTTATCACCATCCAATGGACACAAACACTTCTAAATTACCTGCTGCTCCCTGATTGACCAATCTCAAATAGGCAGATATTATAACAGAGGAGCACACAGAGTTGGATAATATGGTCCGATTTGGGTTTTGTCACTCGATAGACCGTAGCATTTAGGAGTGTTCGCCCATGCTGGATGCAACTGGATAGCGTTAAGGACCCGCTTGAAAGATCTGTAGAAGAGCATGATTTCTTTCAGCAGGCAATTGAAAGAGACCTTGATTCGATTGACTGTGAAACGAGATAACGATCCATAGATGTAGCCCGTGAAGTGATTATTCATATGCGTACGGCTTCAGGAGGATTTGCATATTAAGCTGCGTCTAGACTGAACCATCGGAGTTACAGTAACCAAGGTTGGCGAAGTCGCCTTCTGCCAATCGGCATTTGGTACCGGCAATTTTCAGTCATCCTGCCTTGGGCTGGGCAGAGGAGTACTTAATTCGATATGCCGTTAATTATTGAGGAATTTCCTTATTTTTAAGCTTAGTGGTTTACTCCATACTAATCCACTTGGATCCGCACGGCACCCACGAAAGGTTGCAAGGTGAAACCACACGGTTGTTAAAATAACTATTGCTGCACTTATCTGGCTCCACTCTATATCTCCCAAGTAGACTACCTACTATTGGTAATGGGTAGTCATTTAGCTACGCGGCCGTCACCGATGATTAAGTGGCACAAACTGCTGGCATCCGGAAGTCATGGGGGCGGAACCCGGCAGGGGTCCGAGGAAGGCTCAACACTGGAGACTCAGAAGGTTGAAACAGCGCTGTCTGGTGCTTTTCGGGACGCACCAACGCCTGCTGACTGAGAGTGGAATGTAATGAATTACCGCTGAAATTATACCTAGTATTGGATCAACATCGGACTTGGGAAGAAGAGGAAGCAGGTGGTAATCTGCTTTAGGACGGATGCATTTAGTATAAGCTGGCGAACTCTTCGCTCCACACTAATTGCATAGCACACATTTTTCGGAACGTTTTCTAGGCACACCCTTCGGGAGTAAATACGCAGCAAGATATCGCGATCCAAAGGAGGTGGAGGTGTTGGTGACGCGAGAGAGCAGGTGAGCTAATTAATATATTCACCGATCCACCGACCAATATCTGACCCTGCCGTACTGAACTCTAGATAGCAGTGTCCGATTTGACGAACGACAAATTAGATAACGTATGGTTCTTCAACCGTCCCAATAAATTTCTTCTTTAGTATGTAATAAGTGACGGAACTTAAAGTCGCACGATACGGTCGATCCTTCCGCCCAAGACCAAGTAGAACTATCTACTGGAGAGAACCAGTCGCTATCAACCGCTATTAATACTGAAGTCTGACGGTTAAACTGTCTGTAGAAGTGATCAAATCAACTCTCGATCTCCGGGAGAGCTGTATACAGTCATTCACCTCTTTACTCACTACCAGCTTGGTATACGATATGGGATTACGGCGAACCAGGGGAACCCTCTGTTTACATTCCACTGGTTGGTGGGAGAGCAATGCTACGTGTTTTTCAAATGATACCATCAAGCTTTCTCA